CGGCGGGCGGCCCATGCCCGGCGGGAGCCGGCGGCGGCCCAGGGGGCGCCTCCTGCCCTGTGGGGGTCTCCCCTGGCGGGGTGTCCATGTTCCGGTGGCTGGAGGTGCTGGAGAAGGAGTTCGACAAGGCCTTCGTGGATGTGGATCTGCTTCTGGGGGAGATCGATCCGGACCAGGCGGACATCACTTACGAGGGGCGGCAGAAGATGACCAGCCTTAGCTCCTGCTTTGCGCAGCTTTGCCACAAAGCCCAGACTGTGTCCCAGATCAACCACAAGCTAGAGGTGAGCCTCGGGGGCTGGCAGCAATGGCATTCAACCCCAGGCTGTCCCAGGGCGGTAGATTCCCATTTAACGCGCCAGGAAAACGACCCTGTAAAACTGTCCCCCGGGACACCTCTCAGCTTCGAATGTAATCGAGAGTGCGTTTATACCTGTGTGTGTGTGTGTGTGTGTGTGTGAAGCAAAGGAGTGAGGAGCGGGTGGGGGAGGAAAAGGATGGAGACCGACGTGTGGGTCTCCTGGCTCTGTCATCCACCTCCCAGCATCTCACTGAGGAGGGAACAGGAGCTAATCACACTATCTGCCCTGTAAGTGTCACATTAGCCAAGATCCTCTGTCGGGGAAATACTACCTCAGCCCTCCTTTGGACGTGTGAGTTTTGCAGACCAGCTTTGATCATGATAAGCTAGGTTGATATGTTTTCAGACCGGTGCAGCTCTGATTATTTTCATCTGATATAGCCCAGATCAACGTCCTACAGAGCCATGCATGAACTTTAAGGGAAAGTTCTTAGGGAAATGGAATGGAATGTATGTTAACTACCGTCTTTCTCTGTTTACGTTCACACTTGGCCCTTCAGTTACAGACAGATATGTCTTCAGAGCTCCCTGTCAATATTCAAGTAACTTCCAACTTTGAGGTATATGTGTTTGTACTCTACAGCATTTCCCAAATTTTAGATATTTTAGAGTATATAAAGACAGTCTCTTGCTTTGGCCTCTAATCAGAGGGTGGGGAGATTCCAAGACAAAAATTCCAAGCCTCCCATTTTGTGTAAAAAAATTAAACGAGGGCAGTGGTACAAGATTTAGAAATCATGGTGTATTAACATTGTGTGGAAAGCACTTTAGAAATAGACAATTTAAACAGAGAAACGTCTTTCATTTTAAACAGGATTAAAAAAATGAGATAATCTGTGATGTGTGAAGTTGTATGTGCCTTAGCTTTCCAAAGAGCTCCTCATTACTGCTAACTGTAATAATGATAGTGCCCATTGTGTCCAGATTAAATGTGTATGCCAGATTTGTTTCCTGTCATTGCTTAGTGGTTATCAACCTTCCATATTAGTTAAAAACTGTGAAAAACAAGGTGCCACTAGTATTTAATTAGCATCTATTTATATATTTAGGATTTTATGGTTCCTTTCTGAAAAGGTTGGGATGAAAGTTTATGTAAAAGTATTAAGGATAGCTGAGCAGTGGTGGTACTTGCCTTTTATCCCAGCATTTGGGAGGTAGAGGCAGGTAGACCTTTGTGAGTTCGAAGCCAGCCTGCTCTACAAAGTGAGTTTCAGGACAGCCATGACTGTTACACAGAGAAACCCTGTGTCCGAAAAACAACAGCAACAATAAACCCAAACAAACAAACAAAATATTAAGTACAGATAAGAGAAAATGTCTCTTGATTTTTTTTTCAATGAATGGTAATTACAAGCAGCTGAGTTTTCAGGTAGTAAAATTACATTTGGTGGCTTTTAAAATAGTATTTTAACTTTAAAGATCAAAAATGAGTAGCTTTTATCACACGAGAACTTACATGTCATTTACATCTTTAACCATGTGTTGCTGATAACTAGTTTTTAAAGAATAAAACAATTTCCAACTTGTTTTTTTAAAAAATGACTAAAGGAAGCTAAATAATAGTGCTTTCTGTTGTTAGCTATAAAATCTGATTTTGAAAAAAATAATTTTTCTATGACTAATAGGTGCTCAACTTTTTAAAAATTCTTAAATACTTTAAAGGAATATTTTTCTTAGTAGTAGATCATGCATGTTATAACTTATGAAGGTTTGCCTTTTTTTTTTTTTTTGGTTTTTGGTTTTTTGAGACAGGATTTCTCTGTAGACCAGGCTGGCTTCTAACTCGCCTGGCTCTGCCTCCCAAGTGCTGGGATTAAAGGCATGAGCCACCAACGCCCGGCTGGTTCTCTTTTTTTTTTTTTTTTTTTTTATTCAGAAATTGTATTTACATATTCGGAGTCTATGTCCCATCTTAGGAAGTAGCATTATTTCTTAAAATAAGAAATGCTAAGGCCGGGCTGTAGTGGTACACGCCTTCAATCCCAGCATTTGGGAGGCAGAGACAGGCGGATCTCAGTGAGTTTGAGACCAACCTGGTCTACAAAGCAAGTTCCAGGACAGCCAGGAATGTTACACAGAGAAACCTAGTCTCGGGAAAAAAAAGAAGAAATGCTAAGGCCAGGTGTGGTGGTGCACTCCTTTAATCCCAGTACTCAGGAGTCAGAGGCAGGTCTACAGAGCAAGTTCCAGGATAGCCTGTGTTACACAGAGAAACCCTTTCTTAGAAAAGAAAAGGAAAGAAGGAAGGAAGGAAGGAAGGAAGGAAGGAAGGAAGGAAGGAAGGAAGGAAGGAAGGAAGGAAGGAAAAGAAATGCCAGCATATCACAATGTGAGTATTTTTCAGGGTGTATGTAACTCTTGATTCAGAGATCTTAGAAAATGGTGAGGGCAATAATTTGATTTTTGTTGTTTATATGTATTTGCAACTATGCATGATTCATCTCTGTTCATTTTTACACATGAAACATCTTATGAACTTTACATAGAATAGTTGTGTACTGCTGTGAAATGACTTATGGCTAGCCATACCTTTCAGAGTAGACCTAGTATGCTATACACAGAATTTCGGGGGATGCTCTGTAAACTGTTGACAGTCTACTGAGATTCTCAGTATCGAAATCTTATAAGAGATTTTGATGCTTTCTAACTCTATTTTAATTATGTCTCAATAAATGAACTAGTTCTTTTAACTATTCTGTATGGATGTTGAAATAATATTTGAAGCTGCTTACTGTTTGTGTAACAAATGTACATCAAGTTTAGTGGTTTTAGAGATTAATATTAAACCACCTTATAGTAAAATGTTTTTATATTCTCAAGTCACATATAACTCCAGTGTGAGTAATTTATATCTGTAATCCCAGTACTTAGTGGTGGAGGCAGTAGGATCAGAAGTTTAAGGCTAGCCTGGGCTACATGAAACCTCGTCTCAAAAAAAAGAAAAGAAAGAAAGAAAAGAAAAAGGGGGGAAAAAAAAAGAAAAAAAACAACCCATATAAATTGGTCTTCTGTTTCCTTCCAAATTGCCACTTTACCCAGTCCTTGTGTTTTTAGGTAATACTACACTTCAGATTAACCTAGTGGTTAGGAAAACAATTTTTACTGAAAAAAAAAAAAATCATAGGTTCCCTTTTAAATTAAATATAAGTACCATTCACATAGCTTTTTGCTGTAAGTTGTATTTGGCAAGAGATGTACATAAAGGGTTGGCAACTGAAGAAAAAAATCAGATTATTTTGAGGTGGTGCCATTTTAAAATAACTCTCTCAAATTTCCTACCTGCCTGAGAATTCCTGCTGTGGTGAGCCACTTGGTTGGGGCCCAGCTTGAGTCACCAGTATAATATCAATTGCAATGGCAGTAATAGCCATAGAGGAGCAAAGGCTATGAACCAATGCCTTAAAATAATTCACCTCTGTTTTGGAATGTAAGCTCTGCTTATTCTATCCTTTTAAGAAATAACAGCAAAACCTAGCCCGCCTAGGCTGGGCATGCTGGCCCTTGTCTATAATCCCAGCACTATGTAAGTGGAGAGAAGAGGATCAAGGGCACCCTCAGCTACACATTGAATTCAGGACCATCCTGGGCTACATGACATCCTGTTTCCAGAGGCAAAAATATACCTTCTACAGCATGTCCTTCTTCCATAGTAGCTGAACTACTATCTCTTTAAACTGATTTGTCAAATCATTAGTAGAGAAGTGGTAAGCCTTGGTCAGAAGTTGGGTTGACATTAAGCTGATGATATACTTGTCTTCATGCAGCTTTAAGTTTGTGCTGTTTTATTTGTTTGTTTAGTGTGTGTGTGTGTGTGTGTGTGTGTGTGTGTGTGTGTAAAAGACAGAGCTCAACATCAGATATCTTCCTCATGTCTTGAGAAGGGTCTCTCTCTGAACCTGGAGCTTGCCAGTCCTGGGGTTACAGGCACCCTTTCATGCCTGACTTTTATCTTGGGTGCTGGTGATCTGAACTCCAGTCCACATTCTTGCCGAGCAAGCATTTTATCAACTGAACCATCTCCCCAGCTCCTTTATTTTTATTTCTGAAACAGGACCTCTTGAAATCTTGGCTGCCTCAACCTCATAATTATATCCAAAGGTGACCTTGAATCTCTGGTCCCCCTATCTCCATCTCCCTGAAGAAATTTCTGTTAACCTAAAACATAATGGATTGATAGAAATTAAGCTAGGAGATAGGGAAATATTATCCCACATTGTATAAAGCAGAGAAACTAGGAAGTGGAAAGTACAGTGATGGGTGAGAGCTCATGGTGCGTTTGACAGACACAGACCTTTCGAAAGCATTGACAATATTCTCACCTTTTTTATTTCAGGACCCCTTGGCACTTAAATTTTGGGGACCCCAGAGAGCTTTAGTGTGTGTGTGTGTGTGTGTGTGTGTGTGTGTGTACTGTTTTAGAGGTTGAAAATAAGTTGTAAATATTAATATATATTAATCTGGATGGGGATGGACAGTAAATAGGTTTCAGTTTGTAGTCTGTGCTGGCCTCTTGGGATTTTCCTGCCTTGGCTTCCCAAGTGTTGTGATGCTAGGCATGCCACCACCATATTAATGTTAATAGTATTTTAAATTTAAAATAGCTTTTTCAAAGCCACGTAAAATTAATGAGCAGAATAACATTGTTTTCTGTATTTTTCAAATCTTTTAACATCTGGCTTAATGGGTAATAGTTGGATTCTTACATCTGTTTTTGTATTCAGTTTTATTGTTATAGCATTTTGTTCATAGAAAAAAGTATGACCAGACAGAGATTTGTAACTTGGTAGGGAGGAGTATTTTGATAGCCCCTTCAGGCAGTTGTTGATATTCTCTGGTGGTAAAAGTTGATAAGAACTCAGGATTAGAAGCAGGCAGATCCCTGTGAGTTCCTGATCATCCTGGGCTACATAGCAAGTTCCAGAC